GGCCATCCCTATATCTAGGGATCCAAACCCGCAGCGTTGGTATTATCAGCACTGCATTCTCCCAAGTGAGCCACAGGCCGGCCCAGCATTTCTGATTTCAAAAAGCTCTTCCCACTATTATACTGGCACTTATATTAATTCATGTGATTATGTTTAACTTACTATCTTATATTTAATTTATCTTCATCTTTGCTTTTAAGCTTTTAATGTTCCATTCCAAAGAAGGAACTGATTCCCATCCCCCTGTGTGTCTTCAGCTTCATTATAAGCATTCTGAGACTAGAGGACCCCAAGTAAGAGATCTTTTTGTATAATTACCACCTGTGAATTTCCATCTGATATATATTATATCACAATTGTAAAGTTTTAACCTAATTTTATAGTATTGTTAGTGATTGAATTCTTTCTTTTTTAAGGGCAATCAAGCAAGACTTAGTTCAGTTCCTCAGAAGGCAGAATTACAAATTAAATTAAACCCAGTGTGTTGTGAACTGGATATCAGTATTGTGGACAGGTTAAATTCCTTGCTTCAACCACAAAAACTTACTACAGTAGAGATGATGGCATCTCACATGTATACTTCATATAATAAGCATATTAGTCTGGTAAGTATTAAAAAAATTATGGATGCTAATCATAATTATAGTTAGCTGCCAGGCTTATTGGGATAATTTCTGAGCTTCAGTATTCCTAATAGATTAAAAAGGATATATTATTTATATATTATTAAAACAGCATTATTTGTAATAATGGAAAAAATATAGACATTTTTTATGTCTTGACAGTAGACTAGCTAAATAAGTTTTGATAATATACTGAATGAAATTTTATGTGACTATTTTATTTATTTTAAAAAATTTTTTTTGGTGGCTGACTGGTACAGGGATTGAACCCTGGACTGTGGTGTTATTAGCACCACACTCCAACCAGCCCCTAAATGGCTATTTTAAATGATGGTTATTAAATGGTGTAGCAACATGAAGAAGGCGCATCAAGAAGTATTAAGTGAAAAAGTAGAATATATTATACCACATAAATTTTATTACAGCTGTGTAAGTAAACTTGATGTATAGAAAATGAGTGGATAGAAATATGCCAATTGGTAGGCTTGATTGTGGTCTGTGGCTAGTCTCTGTGTTTGCCATTAGCCATAGATGTATTGGGGTGATGGTTTAATCTCTTGTTTTATTTTTGCCTGAGGGTGGGCGTTAGTATTAGAAAGTCAAATAGGGGAGAGAGAGAATAGCTTTGTTAAAAACCCAAGTCTACATAATAATCAACTACATTGTATATTGACAAAATAAAAATTAAANTTAAAAACCCAAGTCTACATAATAATCAACTACATTGTATATTGACAAAATAAAAATTAAAAACAAAACAAAACAAAAAACCCAAGTCTAGGTTGGCTGGTTAGCTCAGCTGGTTAGAGCATGGTATTATAACACCAAGGTCACAGGTTCAGATCCCCACACGGGCTAGCCACCAAATATATATATATGGCAGATGACATTTACATGGATATTAAATTTGAGTAAGTGTATGTTAAAAAAAAAAAAAAATCCAAGTCTAGCATAAGAAAAGAACTTTCTAATCTAGTAGGTTAGAGACTGATTCAAGAAATTAAGGAATGTTACCACCTATAGTGGACTAAAGCTTTATTAGTTTTAATACATTTTAGAGAAAAATTAGAATTGGACTTCTGTTTGAATGGCATGTTCTTTGACCCTTTTATTATAACATGGCTTTGGGTAAATAGTGTACATGTTTTTGGTTTTTAAGAGCCATTTGATGGGATCATGTCCTTGGATTGGATAAGAGCTCAGGGAGAGTTATTTAGTGAATACTTGTTTAAAACCTATGATGTGCCAGGCTCTGGGCTTAGTCCTGGAAATACAAAGATGAGTCAGAGGTGGGCCTTTGTATTTCATATAATTAATCTGTTTTCACATAGAATCTCTTTAAAGTAGCATATTGGCAGATAAATCCTTCAAATTGAATGTTGGATACTATGATGATTTTTAACCATATTGAATATTTTCATAGGCTAATTTATATGCTATTGCTTTAGTTTTTAATAAGGTATATATGCCTCTGTAAGCACGTCTGTCTTCACTTGGATTCAGTTTGTATTTTGATTTATTTTTGTTTTTTTTATATCAGGGTTTAACTTTTGCCAGTAGTTACGACTTTTGCCAATAGTTGTTGCATTATAAAATTTCATTACACTAAATTAATGTGGTAGTAGTTATTTTGAGTTGTATTTTAATGCATTATACTGAATGGGGAAGTAGTGATTGCACATATTGTAATGTAGAATACTAATTTACATTATTTATGCTTATTTATTTAATATTTTGGCATATTTTTGTTGTTTTGTGTTTTAGCACAAGGCTTTCACTGAAGTATTCTTAGATGATTCACATAATCCTGCAAATTGTCGGATATCAATACAAGTTGCCACACCAGCATTAAATCTGTCTGTACGCTTCCCAATACCTGATCTTCGATCAGATCAAGAAAGAGGACCGTGGTTTAAGAAGTCGCTTCAGAAGGAGATCCTTCATTTAGCATTCACAGATCTAGAATTTAAGACTGAATTTATAGGAGGATCAACTCCAGAACAAATTAAGTTGGAACTTACCTTTAGAGAACTAATTGGTAAGATTGAATGTGTTTATAAAAGAGCCAGACTAGATACAAAAGCTGCTACTGCATCTTACATCATGAAAGTGTCTGATAGCCCATAATAAAATTAACATTATTTTAGAAAATAAGAGCCCATTTTTTCCAGTATTGTATACAAATATATGATATAAGTCAGTTTTTAAAAAAATTATTAAACATGATGATTTATTCACTTTGTTAAAATACTTATTCTCTGCAGGGGAATTTAGTGCTTTATCCTACATTTTTATCATCCCCTACCACTTATTTGTTGTATGGCTGATAACAGCCAGGATTTGTTGAGTGCCAGTATGTATTAGGTACTGTGCTAAGCACTTCACATACATTATCTTGTTTCCTTAAATCATCATAATCACCATACACTTATTTTTTCCAATTATTTTGATAATTTAATAGGTGAGAAAATCTGTGGAGTTAGAAGGAGGTATCTTTTAAGTTCTTGTTGTAGTAAATGGCAGAGTAATGATTTGAACCCAAATATGACCCTAGAGCTTGAGCTTTCCACCATTATACTAACTAATCTCTAATGGCTTTTCTTTGTAAAGCTTGTTTTGAGTTTTCCTGTATTACTTTGTTTTTGTCAGCTAATGAAGGGAATGCGCATAAATGTAGAGTGAATCAAGTCCATGAAGAACTCTGGAAGATCTTACACTCTGTGGTTCCTAAGCCACCTGCCTCTGCCATAGCACCCTCCCTCTGCCACCATACTCCAGTCCCCGACTGCCACCCCCTCTCTGGGAATAGGCTGCAAAAGTTTCCCTTCCCTTGTTCTGAGTTTTACATATCTTTAGAGATATTTAAAATTGACTTTTGCCAATTATGACTTCATGAAAGGGCCTTTAGCTGTTATCTGATCATTCCTTATCTCCAGTGGCAAGAATCTCTTTCTGGAGGAAAGCCAATCTTTATTTGTAAAATGAAATGAAAAAACATGTATAGCATTATTTTGTCGGCACCACGCTCAGCCAGTGAGCGAACCGGCCATCCCTATGTGGGATCCAAACCCGGGGCCTTGGTGTTATTAGCACCGCACTCTACCGAGTGAGCCACGGGCCGGCCCCTGTATAGCATTATTTTGAATAGAGGTAGTTCTTACAGTGCTTGGTATAAAGTACACAATAAATGTATTTATATTTCTTGTGGTAGATTAACTGCATAAATTTTTCTTTTACGAAGAATTAATCATTAATAGCACTCAGTAAGTGGTAACTGCTGTATTTACTATGTCATGTTTTTGCACCATATACGTCAAACGTTGGTATTTAACTATTTGAGTTTGAACGCAAAACAGCATCTTTAAATTATAACCATCCTGTCTACCCCATGTACTTGCGAAACAGGAACAAATGAATAAATGCTGTAGAACTTAATGTTGCATATCTCCCTGATTGACAGGATCTTTGCTCCTTCAAAGAAGAAAGATCTTTTTTTTTTTTTTTTTTTTTTTTTAACCACTTGATAAGAAATGTATTTCAGTAAATCAGTCTTGTTTTATTAGGGTCATTCCAGGAAGAGAAAGGAGAACCATCTGTTAAGTTTTTCCACGTGTCTAGCAGAATAGATGGAGATACAACATCATCAGATGACTTTGACTGGCCACGGTGAGTGAACAAATGTATGGGTTTAATGGTATTTTCCTTTCAAAAATAAAGTACTATAGTCCTTTTAACCAACACTTTGGCTATTAACACAAAACAGCCCCTTTAAATTATCTACCCATCCTGTCTACCCCATGTACCCATGAAACAGGAACAAATGAATAAATGCTGTAGAACTTAATGTTGTATATGTTTATTTAAGCTAAAAACATCCAGCCTTGATGAGAGAACCCAGAGGAAGACGGACAAATCAAATAAAAAATAAATGTTGAGCACTACTCTATGAAAAGTGTGTGTTAGATATTGTGAGAGATAGAAAGAAGTATAAAATGTGTTCTGTGGTCTCCAGTTACTTAGTCTAATTAGAAGGACAGAAGAATCATTAACCATTTTTAAAGTACTTCAAGGCTACAGTAGAAGGGATATCATAAGGCACCATGTAGTTAATTGTCAAATGAATTTTATAATCAGTGATTGCTTTAGGAGAGGACAATGTGTTTTAAATCTGGGGAGCTTTTACAAAATACTGATTCTTGAGCCCCACCCTGAGATTCTGGGATAGGTCCTGAGCATAAGTGTATGTTTGAAGTTATACCAGGGGATTCCAGTATGCAGCTGGACTTTGAGAACCACTGCTCTAGGATTTCTTAGACAAGATAAGTCATTCCATAAATTATATTAACCTGATAGTGAGCTTGGATCATATTTAAAATAACTTAGTTTACATGAAATAACAATCCATTATTATATTGAAAACTATTTGGAAGTTCTCTAAGAATTTAAATGATCCTTTTTATGCTATTTCTCTGCTTGCCTTCTTTTACACTTTCTCTCTGCTATATGTTAGACCTGTCAGAGTTTTAGGACAGGCTTTAGCAATCTATGCCTGATAATAAGCATGATTTTTCATCGGAAGAATTGGATCTACTTCAATTTAGTAATTTAGAAGCACAATTTACATTAGGGTATATAAAAATTAGGCAACAGTTTGTGGTAGTTTACTAGAACCAAATGGGACTACCTACTTAGTGGGGAAAAAAGTGTTTATAGATGCAGCACAGCTGTTTTGTTTGAGGGTTCCCTGCCTCATAATAATAGTGGATTAATATGGTGATAAAAAGGAGGATAAAAAGCCTGTGCTAGTCATGTTCTGCAGAAGATTAGGAAAGAAATGGTAATACTCTGGAGTAAAAGCTCATTAGCTTTTGTAGTCAAAGGCTGCATTAGCTCAGTGATTTTTAGGATATGTAAGTACAAAATATCAAATAGCACAAGCCCTTTATTATTGGAATTCCTGGAGAAAGAGATAACTTTGCTGTTGCAGTTCTGAAACTATTCCCTGATCAATTTCTCCTTTTGCCATTTGGACAATTTATATAATATGAGGTTACTTGGATAGGCAAGTATTCCATTATAGCTGAACAGACTGTATGTGAGAGGATTTGGTTTAATGATAACTAGAATTCTAAGGTAAAGTTTGTTGGAGGTTGATGGAATTTAAAAATAACCTTTGGCCCACAATAGGTCAGACTTTCAGCTAGCCAAGTATAATTTTTTGAGCGTGTTGGGAGGACTGGTCTGCACAGGAAAAATGTTAATATCCTGTTATTTACTTGTCTTAGTTTCACACTTTGAAGATTACAACGTGTTTATAAGTGTGTTACATTAGACATAATTAGACTTTGTAGAGAAGTGTAATCCTATCATTAAGATTTAATCAGTGGTCTTTGCATTAATTTGAACAAAAGTTAAAATTTTGCTGTTTATGCTTAGATCTTGATTCTTTTTTTGTTTATTGTCTTTGCTATCAGAATTGTACTGAAAGTAAATCCACCAGCTATGCATTCAATTTTGGAGAGAATAGCAGCTGAGGAAGAAGAAGAAAATGATGGTCACTACCAGGAAGAAGAGGAAGGAGGTGCTCATTCCCTGAAAGATGTTTGTGATCTGAGAAGACCGGCTCCATCTCCTTTTTCTTCTCGTAGAGTAATGTTTGAAAATGAACAGGTAAAATAAAAATGTGAGCAAGCAACTAATGGATACTGCTCTCCTCTGTCATATAGCAACGGTTTTAATTCTTGATCTTTTTTTTTTTTATTTTTTTTATTTTTTTTTATCTTTTGTCTTTTTTCCGTGTCCGGCAACGGATCGCAACCCTCAGTCTTGCCCCCGTACCGGACCAGGGACCGGCAACGGGATCGCAGCCCTCGGCGTTGCTCCCGCGCCTCGCTCAGCCAGTGAGCGGGAACCGGTCTGTATGTGGGATCCGAACCCTCGGGCGGGAGCGCTGCCGCGCTTCCCAAGCGGCGCACTATCCAGTGCGCCACCGGGCTGGCCGCTAATTCTTGATCTTTTAAACAATGAGAGCGCTGCCGCGCTTCCCAAGCGGCGCACTATCCAGTGCGCCACCGGGCTGGCCCCTAATTCTTGATCTTTTAAACAATGCTTTGTATAATGTGTTTGCTGGGTTTTTAACTCCGAGATTGAACGATATCTGTTTGTTTATTTTTTTGCTGTATATTTTTCCCAGTTAAGTATTATGTGCTTATTTATTTGCTCACATACCAAGTCCTATGGGTAGGTTAAGATGCTACTACTGTTTTAAACATAAAATAGTTATTTTATTCCTTTTTCTGCACTAAACTATTGTGTTTTAGATGGTGATGCCAGGAGACCCTGTAGAAATGACAGAGTTTCAGGATAAAGCAATCAGCAATTCTCACTATGTGCTGGAACTTACGTTACCAAATATTCATATAACACTACCTAGTAAAAGCTTTTATGAGAAGCTTTATAATAGGTGAGTTAAAACACATTTAGTTGGGTCTTTGGAATCAGACTTTCTGTGTACCTGCCTCCCTGTTTCTCCCCTTCCTCCTTTTCTTTCCTTGCATTAATATTATCTGTCATCTCAGTGTACTTTGTATGGTGTTGATGGTGAATATAGAACTATTACCATTATGACGTGCTATTGTGGTAGCAGAATTTCCTAACCAGTGTGTCTGGTGCCTGGGTTACTGCTGTGTGAGATATTTTTTCCCTCAGCCTGCAGGTTGGCTGGTTGCCCTGTCAGTTTACTGCAGGTTAATTAATGAGCAAGTGCTTTCTTTTGTACACGTGTGGTGACATGAAAAGAGTTAGGAGGTACATGTATAGAGGGCCAGCAGATACTGGAGTAGGGTCAGAATCCTAGAGTCATTGTACAAAGAGCATCTTTTCTCAGAATTCAAAAAGGCATCTTTTAGGAATTCTGAACTCAAACCTATAAACTTGTGTACAAAAATTTAAGTTTATTATATTTAAATACCTCTTCAAGCAAATATGTTGAAATAAGTGGAATTCTAGGTCATACACTGGTGACCTTGGACAATTTCCGTAGCTTCCATAAGCTCCCATTTCCTCATCTATAAAATGGAGAGGATACTCGTGTTTGTCTCACAGCGTTACTGGGAGGATTAACTCTGTTCTGAGAACAGTGTCTGGCATATAATAAGCACTTAGTAGTCATCTCTCATTGTTATAGTTTCCACCCACCGAGGGATCTCTTCTATAGCATGCCTGAAAGATGGTCATATGGATTTCTAAAAAAAGAATTTCTTAGAGTTTATTATCTCTAGCTTCTCCCATGTAAACAGATTATTCTAATTTCTGTTAATCTTCAAAATCTCCAAACTGTTGCTTCTGCTGTAGGTTTGCTTGGTATCAGATATCCCTGGGCCTTTATTCCTTAACTGCTAATAATAAATTCTGGGTCTTCTCACTGATTATCATTGAATGTTGGTCTTAGAATTAGAAAATTAAGTTCCAGGAAAGATTCCAGGGCCCACATTAAATACATACATTATCAGTAGTAGCAGATAATTTGTAAATTCACCTTAGAGGGGTTTCACTATTGGTGTTTGTTTACACATGATCTATAGTTTGGGAACCACTGGTCTCTGAGCTCTTTATTTTATAGTTGAGGGATGTCTGCTAAGAGCTGATTCACATATAGGGCTAAGACTGAGGGAAATGAAAGGACTTGTTCAAGGCCCAGCCCAGACATCAGAAGGGCTTGACCGATTTCTTTCTCTTTCTACATTGATTGAGCAGGTTGTTTTTGGTTAAATGAGAATATCAAGAACAGTAATACATACCTTAAACATTCAATTTATAAATGTATATTCATTTACCAATTGTTTTTAAAATATAGGGCAAGGTCTTTCCTTTGAGTATGAGCTGACGATTAGACCCACCTTATCTTTTTTGCATAAAGTATACCAAGAAGCATTGTCTACAATTTTTAGTTCTGTTTTTTAAAAAGTAAAACAAAAAACAATTTTTTTTCCAAGTGATCTGAGTGCAGAATCCTTGTAGGTTTTTAAGATTTTTTTCACCCCAGACTACATACTTAAAATTAATCAGTAAAGTATTTAATTAAACTGTACTTACAGTAATAAATACAAGGAAATTTGAGGCCAAACACAATCAATCCATGGTGAATATATAAACTATATAACTGAACTGATAGGAGCAGAATTTCCCAGATATGCTAGAGAGTGGTTTGCCAGCAGCAAGCAGATAGCACAATGGGGACATCCATCATTATAACAGTTGGGGGTAACTGGGTAGTTGATTCCTTAAATTAGGAAACTAGACTATCTATTAATCTGGGTAGTTGGTTACATGGGAGTTGCTTAGGAGAGTTTCTGTTCTTATTCTGCCCACTTCCTGGTGTCTCCGGCCCCTGGAATTACATAAATACTGAAGTGCTCCCTCACTCTGTGGACCATATAAATCTCATGTCTCACTTCCTCAGGGTGTGAATTCTTTGCCCCATAATTGGCTTTATATTTTCAAATTAATATTATTTTTGCAGTTTTCAAACATTTTCAGACTTAGAGAAAATTTGCAAGTACAAAGAGTTTTTTCCCCCTGAACCATTTGAGAATAACTTGCTGACTTGGTGCCCCTTCAACCTTGAGTATTTGAGTGTGTATTTCCCACAAACAAGGACATTCTATATAACTGTAATTTAGCTGTCAAAATCGGGAGTTAATATTGATATATACTACCATCTTATCTTCCTACCCCATTTAAATTTTACTAAATGTCTTAATAATGTTCTTTTATCCTTTTCTTTTATTTTTAAATCTTTTCTGAGAAGGAATTATAAACAGATATGCCTTTACTTCACACATTTAAAATATTGGTTTAATCCTTTTTAGTGCCTTGGTCTACTGGCTCTTTTTAGAAAGACAATGTCAGGTACAGAAGGATTTTTTTCTATGTCAAAAGTCCTTTAGAATATAATACAAAAAGTAATTCTGTTTCATTAAATCAAATATTTATTAGGCATCTATTATGTTTCAGGCTCATAGACACAAAATCATGGTATTATGTCCTTAAATATCTTAAGCATTGTTTTCTTTCTTGATATTAGAAACATCCAATGTTTTATAGCATTAATGGTATCCACGCTGTGTTTAAACCAAAATATAAGTAAGGAAAACATACTAAAATTATATGAAACTTGCATTTACAATTCACATACCATGAATTCCAGGTTTTATTGAAAGTAATAGCTTTTCTTTAAACTGTGAAGGTAAGAGAATGCTCATAGGGAATAGGGTAAAGGAAGAGCATTTCCTAAGAAAATTCTTAATTTTATTCCTTCATTATTTATATACATAGGAGTTTAGACCAAGATCTATATTTGTACTCTTTGTTTCTTTGTCCTGTAATATGCCCAGGAAGTAGTAAGCCAAATTTGTACCACAGAGTTTTGGGACATAGCTGTCAGTATGTCTGAGATGTAATATCTTTTATTCCTATATCCCAGTATCTTTAACATAGTGATTAAGAGACTTTTTGGGTGGGGATTATAATGTCCTAAGAGTCACTGTGCTTAGTCCTGGTTTATACTTTCTAGGGCTTCAGAAGCTCAGGAATTAGCCTGGCAAGTGGCTTCTCACAGGAAGGACAGAGCTGCCTCATCGCTTGGCACCTTGATTGGTATTCACACTAGGCTTTACGATGAGTCTGTGCTTTGGCAGTCCTTCCATGTGAGTCATCCACTTGTCCTTTCCTAGTCAGCTGTCAGTACCTGCTATGTGACAACTGCTTGGCAAGGCACATATACAGATTGGGCACAGTCCCTCTTTCAGGGGGCTTGCAGTCTAGGAAGGGGAAAAGAAGAAAAAAAGTAGACTGTTATAGGTGCTGTGATTGAAATAGGTAGGTGGGAAGGATATGCTATGGGTCCAAACCTAACAAAAGGCTTCCTAGAGGACATTGTAAAGTTTGTGTTTTCTTGAAAGCTTAGCAGGTGGGTCTGAGGGGAGGCTAGGGCAGAAGGGCATCTGAGTAGTGACAGATATATCTTTTTTTTTTTTTTTTGTCCTTTTTGAGACCGGCCACACCGCGCTCAGCCAGTGAGTGCACCGGCCATCCCTATATAGGATCCGAACCCGCGGTGGGAGCACTGCTGCGCTCCCAGCACCGCACTCTCCCGAGTGCGCCACGGGCTCGGCCTGTGACAGATATATCTTTGAGAAAGTAAGGTGCAGTGGTAGCCTAGCTGTGACACCTCTCACCCCATTGGTCACTAGTACTGATGGGGCTATTCTAGCTAGTTAGAAGGGTCGTCCTCTCCTTATTTCCTGCTCCATGTGCATTCTTCATCTCATGGAATCTTCCCAGGGAAGCTATGCTTTCTGTTGAAGAGAGAGAAAGCCTTATATCTAGAGAAGAAACTGAATTGGGAGCTGGACATAATCTGGACTCTCGTTCCATCTCTTTCCCTAACTAGCTATGTGACCTTGGGCAGGTCACTTAACCTTTATGAGGCAGTTTCTTCAAGTGTAAAGTGAGAGTATTTATTCTCCTCTGGCTGCCCCAGGATTGATGGGAGGATCAAAAGAGACAATGAATCATCAGTTCTCGTTACGAAGTACTCTCTCACTTGTATATGTGAACAGTCTTCCCTTTTTTTCTTTGTGGGTTATTATTTTTAATTAGCTTCCATCTTTATATTTAGATATGTAATATGAGTTTGTAATTTGCATAAAACACAGGCAAAACTAGGCAAGTATCTAATTCAGTATCTAATTATGCAGATTCCTTTCTCATTGCCATGTATTATAGCCATATCAGTTACTTTTCCACCAAAAGCACATAATTGTTGTTTTTTTAAACTCTTTTTTAGGATCTAATTTCCATTTCATCATTTAAAAAGATTTTTGCTCATGTGGTCTCTTGAAGGGATATTCTTTAGTTTGTCTTAAGTTGAGCTACAAGTTAACGTATTTATTTTTTAACTTTTGTTTTTATAGGATCTTTAATGACTTGCTACTGTGGGAGCCAACAGCTCCTTCACCGGTGGAGACATTTGAAAATATTTCCTATGGTATTGGGCTTTCAGTAGCCAGTCAACTGATTAATACCTTCAGCAAAGATAGTTTTAGTCCATTTAAATCTACAGTTCACTATGGTAATATATTTTAAATTTATTCTGAATTAAAATGCCTACTTTATCAATTAACAAAGTAGTAATCTTTTCAGTTATGGATTCAAAAATGTTTCTTTGACTATTTTTATTTTATTTGTTTATTTATTTTTGGTTGGCTGGTACAGTACAGGGAAGCAAACCCTTAACCTCGGTGTTACAAGATCATGCTCTAACCAACTATGCTAACTGGCCAGCCCTGTGACTATATTTTATAGTTTTTTTGTTTTGTTTTGTAATTTATAAGAGTATTTTCCCATTTATACCTGTATATTGAGAATATCATTATCACTTAAATGTTTCCTTTAGAGTGATAATGTACACATTGAAGTTCAGGGCTAAAGAAAAAAACAAAGTACATTTTTATTGTCATGCCATATTCTTTATAAAAATAAGCAGGTTATAAGAGTATAATTTTTTTTGATAATTTTTAAGTTGCTATTTTATTTTATAAGCTATCAGAATCATATAATTGTGTATTTATTTGTCATAGATGAGGAAAGTGGATCTGAGGAGGAGACTTTGCAGTATTTTTCTGCCGTTGATCCAAACTATCGTTCCCGTAGGAAAAAAAAAACAGACTCTCAGAACAAGAATTCACAGAGTTTTCTCTCAGTTCTTTTGAATATTAACCATGGGTTATTGGCAGTGTTCACAGATGTAAAGGTAATGTTTACAAATCCAAAGTTTTTTCCAAATGTATCTTATTTTACATAAATCTTATTTTCCAAATATATCTTATTTTAAGTATACATCCAGTGATTGAAGTAGTTTGAGGTTGTTTCAGTAACCGATAGAGACCAGTGTTCTGAGGCACACCATGATGACAGCAACTATGGGAACTTAGCTTTCATTGCAGATCAAACTTTGTATGGCCCTGCCTTTGGAAAACAGTTGTTAATTCTGCTCCTGAGGGTGGAAGTTAGTACTTTGGCTGTTATAAAGAAGAATGCAGTACAAAGATTAATTTGGCAGAAGTGTTCCTACGTGGCACTTAAATTATTTATTACTTTTTACCACCATATCGAATGGTTCAAGAATTAGACTGCCTTGCTGTGATGTAGGAGATTTTCCTGAGCTGAATTAAGCAGCATGCCAAGGGAGACTCTTACTTTTCTGCATTTAAATAATGACTTTTATGTTTTTCTGATCTTTTTATTAGCAAGATGATGGAGATCTGCTGGAAAACAAACATGGTGAATTCTGGTTAGAGTTCAGTAATGGTTCATTATTTTGTGTGACAAAATATGAAGGTTTTGATGACAAGCACTACATTTGCCTTCATTCTAGCAGTTTCAGTCTGTATCACAAAGGTAAGATAATTGTTCACTTCTGTTTAGATATGTTTAAATTTCTTGTTTACTAAAGAAAATCTATTGAGAACAGAACTTTGGTATTAGAAATTATTTTCTCTGGGGGGGGGGTTCTGATTCTACTGTCAAAGTAATACTTATTGTAAATTAGAAGTCAACTTTATGTTCATTTTATAATAGCTTTATTGAGATATAATTCATATGCCATACAATTCATTTATTTAAAGTGTGCATTTCAAGGGTTTTTAGTATTTCGGAGTTGTACAACCACCACCAGAGTCAATTTTAATTTTAGAACATTTTTATCACCCTGAGATATTTCATATACTTTAGCTATAACCCTCCAGCCCTCCTGTCTCCCCTAGCTCTAAGCAACCACTTATTTACTTTCTGTCTGTATGGATTTGCATATTCTGGAAGTTTCATATAAATTGAATCCTACAATGAATGGTCTTTTGTGACTGGCTTTTTTCATTGGACATGTTTTCAAGGTTCATACATGTTTTATAAGTACTTCATTCCTTTTTATTTCTAAATAATAATTCATTGTATGGATATACTGCATCTTACTTATCCATTCATCAGTTGATGGGACTTCATGTTCTTTAGTCTCGCTTCAGGAATATTTCCTTTTGGCTTCAGATAGAGAGCTTATCATTTTTTGAGCAGTTGCCTGAGTCACCTTGTGAATAGACATGAGATACCTGCACATTCTTAATTTTTATGAGATTTTTCCTATTTAAATTTAATTTTTCTAGCATTTCAGAATCTTAGGGTTTTTTTGTTTGTTTGTTTTTAAGTTGTACACTGTCAGTTATTCTAACATTAGCAGAGAGAAATGGATTATTAATGCCAGGCTGGTTCTTGGTCATCATGCCTCCAGGATTATATATATTCAGTGGAAGTACATGGATTTTTGTTTTGAATTATAGAGGTCTGTGCACTAATTTCAAGTAATCATTTTGTTAATATTGTCACCTCAATTTGGATCTAGGCATAGTAGATGGAGTGATTCTTCCTACAGAAACACGACTACCTAGTTCAACCCGCCCACACTGGTTGGAACCTACTATTTATTCCTCTGAAGAAGATGGCCTCAACAGAACTTCTTCAGATGGTGTTGGAGGAGACAGTTTGAATATGCTCTCTGTTGCAGTTAAAATAGTGTCTGATCAATCAGAGTCCAATACAAAGGTTTGTGTTTTGTACTTTCATACCATTAAATACTTGCTATTGATGTGATTACTAGCTACAAATGATTGCATCAAATGCAACAAATATATTTTGTTGGAAAAACTTTTGAGTTACAGGATTATATAGGTGGTAACTGTAGTTCTTTGTATTACTGCTCTGTATAGGAATTTCTCATTGCCGTAGGACTGAAAGGAGCCACTCTTCAGCACCGAATGCTACCTTCTGGGCTTAGCTGGCATGAGCAGGTAAGAGAGCGGTTATGTATCAATTTATTTTAATTAGAACATTATTATCACCTCAGAATGTACTTGATTTTTATCTTATGATCCCTAAAACCTCTCAATGGCAGAGTTGTCTTTTGTGTCATTAAAGAAAGGGAAGGAACTCTGTGTTCCAGTACCTGTAGAGTGTCTGGCATAGGGGAGCAATAAATGGTGTGTTTAATGCTTTTATAACCAGAAGTTCCTTAATTGCCATGATTTCCCTATTATTCCCTAGGCCAATATGACACTGGTTTTTTAAAGCATTTTATCAGTATTTCTGTAATTAATTTCCAGTTAAATAACTTTATGCTAACAAAATATAGTTGGTTATTTTTCAGAGCTAACTTTGAATAAGAAGTTAACTTTTCTTTATGGGAGAATGAAAACTATTGCAATATGATTTTTTCTCATGTTTCTTTGAAAGACAAACTTTTTCATTGTGCTGGGAAAATAACAAATTATTTTAAAACTTGAATGTTTTTAAAGTGCTTTTCTCATGAAAACGTTTAGGATACATGGAGATGTATATCTATCTGTCTATGTAGTAGGAGTAGAGAGATGGTTAGTATAAACATTAGCTGGCTATAAGGGAGAGATTTAGCATAAGCTCCTTATTTGCTTAGACTAGAAATATGAGAGAACAGATGTTGGTGAAAGGGACTGGTTTCCAGACTGAACTAGGTATAAATTATAGAAAAAGAACTTTCTCCAGCAGTGAGTTATATAGAAAACCAGATCCCCCCCCCACCACCACAATGGGTTATATAGGAAACCAGATTGATAGTTCTAAGCATTCTTTAGTTAAATGTATTTTTTCAAGAATTGTTCCAAGTAAAATAGTGTGAAATTATATTATGCATATTTTGTTATTAATTTCATAACATAATTTTCTAAGGCTTCTATAGCACTTGAATTGTTGGATGGGCCTCCTCATTTCAGATTCTAATTTAGCAAGTGATTTTTTTCAAATTTATTTTTGTTGTATAGTATATTTAAGGGGCACAATGTGATGTTTTGATAAATACATTCATGAAATGATTACTGTAGTCATACAAGTTAACAAATCCATCACCTTCCATAGTTACTCCCTTTTTTGTACAAGTACTTTCTGAAACAAATTCCTTTCAAATGGTGATTTTTTTTTTCTCTTAGGATTATGATTTTCCAATTAAATGATTTCTTTTTCTGTGAGATTTTTTGTTTCACATTGGTATTAAGGATATTATATCAAAACTTTTTTTTCTTCTAAAGCAGGGCATTTTATATTTTTGTGATTATAGATTTTATACTTCTTGAATATTGCTGATGAACCTGTTTTGGGATATAATCCTCCAACTTCATTTACAACTTTTCATGTTCATCTTTGGAGCTGTGCGCTTGACTATAGGTAAGTTCACAAATGGAACAAAACAAAATTTTATTATTTAAAATATATACTAAGTTTAAAAAAAAATACATAACTTAGTAGAGTTAAGGTTCAAAAGCTTTTCTAAGAGAGTTTCTGTTGGTGCATCAAGTTGATGTTCTGTTGTTTCTTTTTGGTATTAGGCCCCTTCATTTGCCAATCCGATCTCTTCTTACTGTTGAAACATTCAGTGTTTCTAGTAGTGTGGCGTTGGATAAATCTTCTTCTACTCTCAGGTACCTGTGTAAACTTCATTGTGTATTAAATATATCTGTTTAAAACTTATTAATTGATGTTTACCTAAACCATTTTATTAAAGTCAATCTTTTGTTAAAATTAACATTCTTTTACTAATAGTCATATCCTTTTATCCAATTACTCAATTTTTCTTTCTTAGGTGACTTGTCCCATCTACTCTTTTCATTATTGCATTTCATTTTTGGTGAAAAAAATTAATTGCAATTCTTAGTTTGCTTTTTAGAACATATGGTAAACTTCTCATAATACCCGATATACTTCATAATTCTGAATTTGGGCATCTATTTTTTAAAAAATGCCAGAAATTTAGAATTAATTTGAGTAGATGATTTAATCTAATTTTATACCCCATTTAAATATTCCTAACACTCAAACAGTGAGTTAAAAAAAATGTGAGATGACAATTGTAAGTTAGAAACTGCATATGATTTTGATAATGTTTATATTGGAAAGAATGATGAGATTAAGCATATAGTGAGCATGTGGTATATATTTAAAGCTTAGTTCTTCATATATTGGTTTTATCTTATTTTCCTC